GGCTAGTGAGGAGAGCCACACATGTAAGTTAAACATGTTCCAGTCATCAGGTGCTTTGTATCCTTGTCAGCACTTAGTATTTTCAGGATCTGTTTAACTGCTCTAGTAGGTATGTAACAGTAGCTCAGTGTGGTTTTAATTTGCATTCTTCTGATGTCAACAATGTCAATCATCTTTTCATTGACTTATTTACCATCTCTATATTTTCTCTGGAGAAGTATCTGTTCAAGTTTTTTTTTGTCCTCATTAAAAAGAAAACTAAATTGTTCATGTTCTTACTGTTGAATCTTGAAAGCCTTTTGTGTGTTCTTCACATAGTTTCTTGGCTCATTACGTGATTTGTAAATATTTTCTCCCAGTGTGTAGATTATCTTTTCATTCTCTTACCACCGGTGTATTTTTCAGAGCAGATGTTTTAAATTTTGATGAAGTCTAGTTTGCCAGTTTATCAGTTTACCAGTTTTGTTTTTTCTTATGCTGTTTGGTCATGTATCTGCCTCTGTGACCCCAATTTACAAACATTTTCTGCATTTTCTTCTACAGTTTCACAGTTTACACTTGGATCAATAATTTGAGTTAATTTTTGTTTTAAGTGTTAGGTTTTAGCTGAGGTTTATTTATTTGCACATGCCCAATTTTTCTGGCACCAATCCTGTCTCTACTGAATTTCCTTTGAATCCTTGTAAAAATCATTTAGCTATTTTTATGTGGTGCTATTTCTGGACTTTATTCTGTTCCACTTATCTCTGTGTCTATCCTTTCAAAAATACCATTTAAACTTGATTAACTTGAGTTTTAGAGTAATGCTTAATATCAGAAAGTGTCAGTTTTCTAACTTTGTTTTTTTTTAAATTGTTTTGGCTATTCTATTTCCTTTGACCTTCCAAAGAAATTTCAGATTAGCTTATCTGTGTCTATAAAATAATCTTTTGGGATTTTGATTGAAATTGCACCAAACCTATAGGACAATATGGGGAAACAACTATACTGAATCTTTCAATTAATGAACACACTATGTCTCTCCACTTATTTTGGCCTTTGATTTCTTTCATGAATGTTCTGTAGTTTTTCAGGATACAGACCAAGTACATGTTTTGTTAGATTTATGTATGTTTCATTCTCTTGGAACTATTATAAAATAGTATTTGTTTCAGTTTCCAATTGTTCATTGCTAGTACATAGAAATTGATTGATTTTCATGTGTTGATTTTGTATCCCGAAACCTTACAAAACTCGCTTTTAGTTTTAACAGATTTTTGGTGGATTCCATTTGACTTTCTACATAAACAATCATGTTGTCTGTGAATAGGAACAATTGCCCCTTTTCCAGTTTAGATGGCTTTTTCTCCCCCTTTTTCTTGCTTTATTATAGCACTGGCTAGGGCTTCTAGTACTATGTTGAATAGGAGTAGTGAGAGTAGATGAAGACATGCTTTGTTCTCAATCTCAGGTTTCAATGTCTCACCATTAAGCATAATGTTAAATGTAGAGTTCTTGCAGGTGCCTTTTATCAGATAAGGGAAGTTCACTTTTATTACTAGTTTTCTGAAAGTTTTTATAATGAACGAGTGTTGTTTTGTCAGATGCTTTTTTCTGCATCACATGATATGATCGTGGTTATTTTCTTCTTTAATTGTTAACACTGGTTGGTTTTTGGAATATTGAGCCAGCTTTGCATTCCTGTGATAAATCCCACTTAGTCTTTTTTATATGTTACTGGGTTTGATTTGCTAGTATTTAATTGAGGCTTTTGGTGTCTATGTTAGTGAAGGATATTGCTCTCTGGTTTTCTAGTACTGCCTTTGTCTGGTTTTGGTATTGTTATGGCTGACTTCATAAACTTTGTTGGGAAGTATTCCCTCCTTTTTATTTTTGGAATTTTTTTTTCTGTAAATGCTTAATAGAATTTACCAGTGAAATCTTCTGGGCCTGGAGAGTTCTTTTTCTTTAATAGATACAAACTACTTAGATTATCTACTTCTCTTGGGTGAGTTTTGGGAGTGTGTGACTTTCAAGGAAATCAGTCCATTTTATCTAAGCTACTGAATTTATGTATATGGAGTTCTTCATAGCGTTGTATTTCTTTAAGTGTCTGTTGTCTGTAATGACTTGTAATAAGACATTTCTTACAAGTCAGTTTCAAGTGTTCTTTCAGTGAATGGACATGTTTACACACATTATGTAATGCAAGGAGTGAAGTGTTTAAAAATACTTGTAATAAACGTGTTTCTTACAACACTACTTTCAAGTTGCATTCAGACCAGTGTTACTTCAGTGAATGGTAGTGATCCCCATTCTGTAATGCGTGTAGTTGAAGTGTTTAAAGCCACTTATAATAAAGATGTTTCTAAAACAGTACATGCAAACTGTTGAGAACAATGTTACTTCAGTGACTGCAAGTCCTCTCCATTTTGTAATGCATGTAGGGAAGCGGTTAAGAACATTTGAAATGAAGGGTTTTGAAAAATGCTATTTGTAAAATGCAATCAGACCAGTGTTATTCAGTGAAATCAGTAACACATTCTGTAATGTTTTGAGTGAAGTGTCTAAGAACACATGTAATAAAGGTGTTTCTAAGAATGCTACCTGAAAGCTGTGCTCCAATCAGCATTATTTCAGTGAGTGGAATAAATAACCATGAGTAATATAAATACTGAAATCTTAAGAATATTTGTAATTAAGATTTTTCTAAGAACTCTACTTGCAAGCTGCTATCAGAACAGTGTTATTTCAGTGAGAGGAAATGATCCAGTGAAGGTTTATGAACCCTTGTGTTCTCAGCTAAGCTATGTACATGTTCATTCTGAACAGTATTTTTTTTAAAGAATGGTAGTGATACTCATTCTGTAATGCAAGTAGTAAAATGTGTAAGAATTTGTAATGTTTCTGCAAATAATACTTACAATCTCTATTGAGAACAGTGTTATTGGAGGAAAGTGATACACATTCCGTAACGCATATAGTGAATTATTTAAGAACACAAGTATAAACAAGTTTCTAAGAATGTTATTTGCAAGCTCCAATGAGAACAGTGTTACATGGGTGACGGGGGGTCGGGGGGGTGGGGAGGAAGTGACGTCAGCATCACAGCAGCATTAGTCATCCTTTTCCCCCCTCACCATTGATTTGTAAGTAATCTTACGTGCTCAGTACCTTTGCACAATACACCAGGACACCAGGAGGGTTTTATTCACCTGTACATTTGAAAGTGGGCAGATAGGACCTTCACTGGGGCTGCGGATCCAAGGGATTTGAATGAGCCTGCCCCATCTCCACTCACTGGTATGGATAAAGGGGACCTGGAAAGTGCAGAATTGGGTGGATACCCATGTGAGATAAAGAATTTGTGAAGGTCAGGCCTGCCTGAGGGGAGAACCCAACACACCATTGGAGTGGGTTAGATGGTTTTGGAGGCAGAGTAGAGGGAGGAACTTGCCAAGGCTGCCCTCCCCGACCCCCGCGAGGTGACAGTGCAAATCACCAGGCTTTTGGGGGCATCAGAGGTGACCTCTCTGGCAGAGGAGGTAGAAAATAAGGGCAGTGAATGGTTGACTACCCAGCTTGCCTCAGGGATTCAGGTTGTAGCTGGAGGGACCTCAGTGCTTGGGGAAAGGAGAGAGAAGGGAAGAAGCCACACAGTATCAAAGGGCGCTGAAGTAGCACGTTTCCTGCTGTCTGCTTTGGGACTTCAGCCGGCTCACGCATGGACTTCTGTGAGTGGCCACTCCAGGACTGCCCCAAACAGGATTTGGGGGTGCCCACAGGGGTCCCGATGGACATCCCCATGGGCACCAGCAAAGCCTCAGATGCTAAGCTTACATTTCCTCCCACTCTGCTGCCAGCTCCTTGAGCGCACACCTCCTGAGTGCTTCCAGCCCAGGTAGGACAAACCACAAACTTGAGCTAAGCACCACCTTCTGGAATACAAAAGAAAAGTTTGTAATCGCAAGACTTAAATTTAAGAACTAAAGCAAACCTAAAACCTTACTGAAGAAGGTGTCTGCTTCTCAAATTCAACAGCAGGAGTGAATATCATCAAACACTATGAAAAATTTTAAAAACAGATTTCACAAAAATAAAATTATAATTTTCCATCAACCAAAGTCAAAGACTCAGAATCTGACTGATAAAGAAATCAAAATAATTGTTATGAAGAAATTTAACAAGCTACAAGGAATCTCAGAAGGCAGGTCAATGAACTTGGGGATATAATTAATGAGCAGAAGGAATTCTTTATCATAGAGATTGAAATTATATATATATATATATATATAAAAGGACCAAATAGAAATTCTGGAATTGAAGAATTCAATGAAGAAGATGAAGAATGTAACAGAGGGCATCAGTAACAGGGCAGGTCAGATGGAGGAAAAAAAATAAGACTTGGAGGATAGGAATATTGAGATGATTCAGTCAGAAGAAAAATTAAGATTTTTTTTTAAATGAAGAAGCACTATGACAGCTAAATTTGATCAGAAAGGCAAATAAAGAATAATTGGATTGCCAGAGGGAGAAGACAGGAAGAAAGAGGCAGAGAGTTCATTCAAGGAAATAATAACTGAGAACTTCCCAAACTGGGGAACAATTTGGACATAAAAGTCCACAAAGCTAATAGAACAATTCTTCTCTAAAACACAGTCTCATGAAACTGTCATGAAAAAAAAAATCAATGATAGAGAAAGAATCTTAAAGGCATTCAGGGGCAAGAAAGAAAGAAATTTACAGAGAAATCCCCATTAGGATATCAGAAGATTTCTCAGCAGAAACTCTACAGACTAGGAGAGAACAGAATGACACATTCAAAGTGTTGAAAGACAAAACTTACTGGCCAAGAATATTTTATCCAACAAAGTTGTCCCTCAGATGTGAAAGAGAAATAAAGGCTTTTCCAAGCAAACAAAACCAGAGGAAGTTCACCACCACTAGATTGGAATAATTAATATTATTTAAAATGTTGATATACTAAAACCCATCATTAGAGTCAATGCAATCCCTATCAGGATTCCAATGGCATTTTTTTTTACAGAAATAGAAAAACGGTCTGAAAATGTATATGGAACCACAAAAGATCCAAATAGCCAAAGAAATGCTGAGAAAGAATAACAAAGCAGGAGGCATCGCACTTCCTGACTTCAGGCTATACTATAAAGCTATAGTCATCAAAACAGTATGGCACTGACATAAAAACAGCCAAATACACCAAGGGAACATAACCGAGAGCCCAGAAATAAACCCAAGCATATTCAGTGAGCTAATAATTGACCAAGGGGCAAAAATACTCCATACGGAAAAGACAGTCTTTTCAACAAATGGTGCTGGGAATATTGGATATTCACATGTAATAAAATGAAAACTGATCCCTGATTTATACCACTCACAAATACTTACTTGAAAGGATCAAAGACTTAAATGTAAGTCTTCAAGCCATGAAACTCCTAGAAGAAAACAGGAAAAAACTCCTGGACATTGGCTTTTACACAGCAAAATAAACCATCGACAAAGCGAACACAACCTACTGAGTGGGGCAAAATGTTTGCAGACAATGTATCTGATAAGAGGTTAATATCCAACATATATGTCAAACTTCCAGTAATAAGATAGATAAGTACTTGGGATGTAATGCACAACACACTAACAGTGGTTACAGGAAAGTTGATTGAAAGAGTGGAGCCTAACAGTTCTCAGCACAAGGAGAAAATTTAGTTTTTCTCATTGAGAAAAAATAATACGAGATGGTATATGCTATATGAGATGATGGATGTTAGCTAAATCTACGTTGGTCCTCTTTTCACGATCTATGTAAATCAAACCATCATGCTGTACACCTTGAACTTATACAGTGATGCGTGTCAATAACTTCTCAATAAAACTGGACACAAGATTAGCAAATGGATCTCTTTCATATATGTATATAGTCTGGGTGCTTTTCAAACTGCTGCTTCTGTGCTGGGTCCTGAGGTGACAGTCTACACGTAACACATATAAGAACAGTTTCTCAGCTCACTACAGCTCTTTGGGTCTCAGGGATATAAGCCCCAATGGTTTTCAAAGCCAGATGTTTGGGGGGGGGCTCATCTCTCAGATGCAGGTCCTAAGAGTTGGGGTGCCTGATATGAGGCTCCTCAGGGAGAAGCTCCGGATTTGTGGGTTCCCTCCAGATTGTGGATCATGCTGCGGGGAAGCGTTTATGGAGACACGGTGTCTCAGTCGCTCCTACCTGTCCCATTGTGACCCTTTTCTCATTCAGTTTGTAGGAGCTGTTCAGCTAGATTTCAGGTCTTTTCCCAAAGGAATTGTTCCATTTGCAGCTGTGGATTAGAGTTGGTGTGTCTGTGGGAGGAGGTGAGTTCAGGGTCTTCCTGTATCTCCATCTTGGAACACCTCCCTGCCTGTGATCATCAAATCTCCTCAGAGACTAGATCTTCATTATTCCAGCCACCCCAAGAAATGATAATTATGGTGCATGATAAAGGTGCTAATTATCACTGCGATGGCAGTATATAATATACAATACACATAGTATAGAATACAAATGTATCAAATCAACATGTTATACACCTTAAGTATACACAATGTTATGCGTAAAATATATTTCTTTTTCTTATTCTTATTTCTTAATTGAAGTGTAGTCAATTTACAGTGTTAGTTTCAGGTGTACTGCAAAGCGATTCACTTATATGTGTATGTATATATCTCACTTTCTTTTCCATTATGGTTCATTCCAAGAAATTGAATATAGTTGCCTGTGCTAGACAGTAGGTCCTTGTGGTTCATCTATTTTATATATAGTAATGTGTATCTGTTAATCCCAAACTCCTAATCTATCCCCCTCCCCCAAAATATATTTCGATTACAAAAACTCTATGTTCTGCTGACAGTATTCAGCTAGTGAGGATCAGCAGACAAACTCATCAAAGCAATGCTGTTTATCTACTCGCTGAATCTTGGGTTTGGAAGGGAGCTTGGGGAATAGCCAGGATTAATTGGCATTTGATTTCTGATACAACATACAGCTGTCTGATCACTGCTCACACTGAATAACCTTGCTCTGCGTCTTACTGTGCAGTTTGTCAGTTTACATCTGTTAGTCCCTTCCACAGGACCATGGAATTTCAGGGTTAGAAGAAGACCTGATAAGTAGGTAATTTCCACTCAAACTTCACCCCGCTACTTGAACCCTCTCTCGCATGAATCCATTGTCGTCTCTTCTATGATGTGCACCCGGGTGGTGAGCAATAGATAGCAATGGTTGCAAGTTTTTTTTTAATTTGGCTAATCTTTCTCTCATCATTTTATATAGAAAAAAATAAGCCTTTTAGCAGGCCCCAAACCATACTTTTGTTAAATAATAGATGCCAATATTATAAATTAATGTAGTAATAGTTTTTCTTTAAAAATGCTTACTCCTAAAAAAAAAATACATGTACCCCAATGCTCATAGCAACACTATTTACAACAGCCAAGAAGTGGAACAACCTAAATGTCCATCGACAGATGACTGGATAAAGAAGCTGTGGTAAGGAGTTTAGGTTTTTTGAGCTCCAGCTGCCCATTCTCCTTGGTCCTTGTAATAAAGCTTTCTCTGTTCTAAAAAAAGAAGAAGAAAGGAGAAGAAGGAGAAGGAGGAGAAGGAGGAGGAGGAGGAGAAGAAGAAGAAGAAGAAGAAAAGAAAAAAGAAGCTGTAGTATATTTATACAATGGGATACTACTCAGCCATAAAAAAGAATAAAATACTGCCATTTGCAGCAATATGGGTGGACCTGGAGATTGTCATTCTAAGTGAAGTAAGCCAGAAAGAGAAAGAAAAATACTATATGATATCACTCGCATGTGGAATCTAAAAAAAAAGAAGGAAAAAGAAGACACTAATGAACTTACCTACAAAACAGAAACAGGCTGACACACATAGAAAACAAACTAGTGGCTACTGAAGGGAAAGAAGGTGGGAAGGGATACATGGGGAGTTCCAGATTTGCAGACACACACTACTATATATAAAATAGATAAATAAGTTTCTACTGTATAGCACAGGGAATGATATTCAATATTTTGTAGTCACCTATAATGAAAAAGAATATGAAAACAAATATATGTATGTACATGTATGACTGAAACATTATGATGTACACCAGAAATTGACACAACATTGTAAACTGACTGTATACTACTTCAATTTTAAAAAAAAGCAGAAAAAGAATAGAGAAACAGGGTGGTCTGAGGCGTGGGGAGCGTGGGGGAAAGGTGAATGGAAAAAGATGTGGTCGTGATCACTCTGCACAGTCGTAACTAAACTACAGGTCTCTGCACGTTCAAAACAGAGCTGCTTCGCACGATCTGAGGGTGGGGTTTTCAGCCCTCTGGTGTCAAAGGGTCGCTGAGCGGACACTCATGTAGGTGTAGTTGAAGAGTTGGTGGTCCTATCCAGTCTTTTTTTTTTGGTTTGGAACACAAGATCCTTTTTTTTTTTTTTTTAGTATAGTCAGTTTACAGTGTTACGTCAATTTCTGGTGTACTTAACCAGCTCAGCTTGAACGAGACAGAGCTGACTCCAAGGTTCTGGAAAACAACTCAGGCAGACATATTGTTTAGGCTGCGTGCCGTTTGGAGGACACGTCTCAAAACAACCTTGATTAATGAAGGCAGGTGAAATGGATTTGACTCAGGACCCGTGGTTTCGGATCCTGCCTCCTCCCTTATCTCTTCAGAGCAGTTCCTCACAGCTACCTGAGAGGCTGTCTCCGGGCTGCAGTCTCTGTAAGGTTTCTGAATAAAACTCATTTCACAGCTTTTATCTCATGCATTTTTCTTTCAGTCGACATTGGGCACATCACATTCAACAGTGCTTGAAACACAGAAAGCTACTAGCATCCTTAGAAATAATTTTATTACAAGTGTTGTGTTTTTTTTTTAACACTTCCATACACCATTACAGAATGACATCCATTTACTGGTATAACATGGTTCTCAACGCAGAGAGCAAGTAAGTAATGTTCTAGGGAACATCTTTGTTACAAATGTTCTTAAACACTTTCACATTCGTGTTGTAGCTGAGTATAACTTCCCATCACCCGCAGAACACTGTTCTGAACAGAGCGTGCAAACAATGGTCAGAAACATTTTTTTAACATTTTTTATTGATTCATAATCATTTTACAATGTGTCAAATAGAGACTCTTTTGATAACATTTTTTATTGAGTTACAGTCATTTTACAATGTTGTGTCAAATTCCAGTGTAGAGCACAATATTTCAGTTATACGTGAACATACATATATTCATTGTCACATTTTTTTTTCTCTGTGAGCTACCACAAGATCTTGTATATATTTCCCTGGGCTACACAGTATAATCTTGTTTATCTGTTCTGCAGAGACAACTTTATTAGTTTGTTCTCACATGCTTGTCTACATGCACTGCAGAATGTGTGCCATTTCCACTCACTAACATATCCCTATGCTTAGTGTGGCAGGTAAGTAAGCAGCGTTCTTAGAAACAACTTTCTAACTAGCGTTCTTAAACACTTCTCTACATAATTTGCAGAAATGAAGTCCCTTCAAGTTAATGTTATAACACTATCAATGTACTAAGCAAATAGCATTCTTAGAAATATCTTTTTTTAAACAGGTGTTCTTAAACATCTCTATACATCCTTTGCAGAAATGGTAAAACGTCCATTAAATGACATACCTGTTTTGTGCTGGTCTCAGCCTGTCAATGACTAATGTTAAAGTTAGATCAGTTCTTGCGGTTTCTTATGATAACAAGATGCCATTCAGCAACAACCATCAGGAACCTTTGAAAAAAATACAAGTTTATTACTTACAAGACCTGGAAATTACATAGCACGCCTGGAACCACGGGGCGAGGTCACAGGTAGAGAGACGGCACACTGGCCCAGGTTCTGCTTTTATTGGGGTTGACGGTTTTGTGGGCTCACTGCTGGTGAATTTAGGAC